GATGAACGTTGTGAAGATAGGCCAAAGGTGTTGGACTTGATTCCATCCACAATATCGAAAAGATTGCACATAATTTCAACAACAAAAATAGAATTGGGTGAAAGACTGTGAGCCCCATGTGATGTATAATAATACAACTGGATAGTGATGTTGAATGATAAAAATACAATAAACAAGTCGAGAATTTGTTTTTTGGTTTTTTTTAAATAAGGAAAAGAAAAACTTACATTGCTCGGTGAACTTGTGACATGTTTCTCCAATCTTCGATATGTATCTTTCGAGGACGTCAGTAAGAACCTCAAGGGAGGAGTTCTGAGCTGAGTTCCAACCAAGGTTCTGGCATATCTGAGCCACTGATATACGCAGCAAGCTTCGGCTATATTTATCAGACATCTCTAAAATAAAAGGAAGAAAAAAAGGCATTTAGTTTTTGGTTACAAAATACAGTGACACAGACTAATTATTTAGTTTTGAGCTTTTGTTTCCCTTTCTGTTATCTACCTCTTTTTCTTTTTGACGTTCAATTTCATATGCTCAGGTCAGTCCATCAGATGGGCTACCTTTATGAACTTGCTTACCAGTTGCAGGTCCTCCAGGTTTCCCATGGCTTGGTCTGCACACTCTGCCCCTGGGGCTGGGTTTCTTTTTGTAGTTGTAAGTTCTGTAACTGATGTTTGTTACACATCTATGTTGGCATGGGTCACAAGTAGCACAGTATGTCTATGGTCTTTACCAGTGCCCCATAGTTTGTCTTGAAGGGTCACTACTGTGATCCAGAATTCTTCTCTCTTACTGGTGAAGTTTAGGCAGTCTTGTAAACCATGCTCTGGAGTTTTCTATGGTGCACAACAAACGCACACAGCAGAGTCAGTGAGACCCATACAGTGAGTGAATGATGAACAAAGAAGTACTTCTGAGACATCCCTTTGTATGATTTTATTTTATTCAAGAACCAACATCAAAGCACTCGGGGCATTACCATAAGCGCTCCGTTCCTATCTTCAGAAGCCAGCTCAGAGTTCCGATACTAATGAATACTTTGAAATAATGCTTGCCTAACACAGAGCTGAATGAGAAAAAAAAGAAGACATTTAGGTGATTACAGAGAAAGCAGGAGCCATGGAGGCTCCATCTCTGGCTGAAGGTCTGAGGTTCAAATCTGTATTCAGCACTACTTTTTTTTCTTTCAAAACTGACTCCCAGGTTGACCCAACCTAAAATGGGTACAAGGTAAAGTCCTGGGAAGTAAAGGGGGTCAGCATGCTACTGTCCATAACACCCATCAAGCACAGCTTGGTCTATACAAAAATATAAGGCTGGCATCCATATTTCATGAGCCGCTGGTGTGTTAAAGGTTCCTTAACTTAGATGTTGAGAAATATACCAGCAGCTATGTTTCTAATATACATGGCTGAATGGAGTCTTCAACATCGGTAGAATGACATTTCTGTGTGGATTTCAGGGTTTATTAGAAAGGGGGAATAAATCCACGCCCACTAAAAAGCTTACCAAAAAAGTGAATTAATTAAAGATTTTTAAAATCTTGATGTGTTGGTTAAAAAAGAGCAGATATCGCAATCTAGCTGTAAACCACACCATAATATACCAGCTGCTTTTAAGAGCAAATGCAGAAGAATACAAAAATATCCCCAAAATGTCATGTGATAAGATTATTTTCTGGTTTACATTTTATGTACACCTCAGAGCATCTAGGTGTGGTCTGAAAAAGATCCCTTCTTAAATGTTCCAGTCTCCTTATATGGTTCATACTAAAAGAGCCTGAGCATAGCACATGAACTCCTTTACATACAGATCCTATATATCTTAATAATTTGTTCAAGTGATGAAACTATGTATTGCCCAAGTGACGAAATTGTCTTGTGCATGTTTACTACCATGCATTGGGGGGGGGGGGTGGGGGGGGGGTGGGAAGCTAAATGCAGCTATGCAGCCACCAATTCCAAGATGCCCTACTTGGTTTAGGGCAATGTTGGCCATTACTCACGGTGAACATTACGGATGTGAGACAGTACTCTTCCATTAATTCAGTAAAATCAGCGCAGAATCTGTTGGTACACAAGGTCAGGTTCTGCGTATCCCTTATACACAGCACAAGAGCCTGCATTTCATTTAGAATCCTACCCAAGTGGGTTCCGGGGCCCTTTTATAGGGAAAACAAGAATAGACCCACTGCCTTAAAAAAAGCATGTCGTAAGAGACGACTAGCTGGGAGCTTCCTTCAAAGTCGGAGTGCATCTGCACGAGAGGCAAAGAACCAACATTCTGCTGACAAATGATTCAAGTCTGTCAAACAGATGCACACACAACACTCACGTTCTGAAACAGGACTGCAGTCCAGAAGTGGACAAACAGCCAGAACTTTCTGCCAGAGTTTCAAAGCCGGTGAACGTGAAGAAGAAGAAGATTTAGAATCCACTTCAACTGTGCCCATTGTGGTTTATGTTGTGAACTGCATATTCAGAAATTGACGAGTGGCCTGTTGCCAAAGAACTGGTGGTGTCTTATATGATTAATTGTGTATGCAGATACTGATCTGCCACTTCTGATGGCTGCCCTAAGCATTTATTGTATGCTATCTAATTTACCGAGGCTACAGTCTTTGTCAATTTTTTCACAAATGACAGTTAAAAGCATTCTGTGTGGTTTTTGCTGGCAAAGAAATGGACCAACTATAGGGTGACCCATTTGAAACTGCTATTAGCTCATTATCTAACAAGAACCTTAACTTCCTATCACGCCTGCGACTGAAATTACCTCATCATGGAAAGGATTCCAAATGTTTGTATTCCAACATTTACAACTTATAATTTTTTATGCCACCTTTACTTTGCATATTTCCTGGGACCAATACAGTTTAGATCTACATAGGAGTCGATAATAAAGATTCATATAAGTGTGTATTCAACTTGGTCCGCCTGGCAAGTGTGCTAACTACCGCATTTTTGCTGATCCAGCAAAAACAAAACAAACATCTGCACCCCATGAAAATCTTGTCTCATAATGTATGGTGTTGTTTAGGAGACAGACATCAGATTATGTTGTTGACAAGGACGTACCAAGCAATCTGGGAATGTGCTGCCCATACCAGACAGTCTAACATGAATCTGTTGCCACTGTTTGTGAAAGATTGTTCACCAGCTGTGAGATAGTTAAATGGATTGAGAAAACAAGGATGCACCAGGATAAACCTTATGATGGATACTACTGAAAGAGACCTAAGGTGCTAGATTAGATTCCATCTATGATATCAAAAAGACTTAGCCAAACAGAGGACTAGACTAAAAGGTTTTTTTTTCAATCATACTTATGTATGTATAATTCAACAGCATAACAAAGTAAAGATGCTGACTTGAGAGAGTTAATACCAAAGTAATAAGATGGCTTACTTTTAATTTTGGTAATACAAATGTGTCAGTTACACACACCAGTCTTGTATTTATCCAACAAGTGGTTGTTGTAGTAGTTTTGTTGCTGCATATGGTCAAAGTGCAACATGACCTGTACCATCTTGTAGTACTTATGTCAAATTATCAACCACAAACAACATTCCATCAACTTCTCATGAGAAAATCTACGGCAAAAGAACCATTACGTGAAAAGCTGTCCGTGTTATTGGACTAGTCTGCTGCCTTCTCAACTCCCATGTTACTCTCAAGTAGTAGCTGTAGTGAGACGGTGCGAAATTTCCACAAAGCTGCCGTGTCTGTAAACACTAAGTTTACAGTTGCTTTAATTTCGCGCAGAAATTATTTTGTGAAATAAAAGCACCACTTTTACAAGCTTCAAAATAACAATAACAGCTATGCTCTGTTCTATTTATGACATAAGAAGAACAGCTATCTATCGGTGATTATGTTGACTCGACAGTAAACAACAGACACACTGTGTGACCAGTCCGGCGACACGGCCAGCTGCCAGCAGACACGGTCCACTGGCGGGCAGCACAAAACCGAATAATTAAAAATCTCCTCAAGATAATACCGAACCAATAATGCTTTCTAGTTTATAATGTTTTACATCGTTATACTGTCGGATAAATTCACACGCAAACTTTGAGCTACATTTCAAAATCTTCCACAAAAATGAAACTAATTAATGTAGCCATTGATGGAGTCTCAATTGTTTGGACGCCATTTTAAGAATTAATATTTGTTCTGGATTGGATTACCATTTAATTTCAAATATTTAAAAAAATATAATTTTAATTTTTTTTTAAAAAGTTTTAAAAATGTATAATGTGTCAGTTTAATTAATTAAATATAAGGAAATTTTATATAAGGAAAATTAGTAAGGTTATAAAATGCTCATCTAATCCAGGGTAGCAGAGCGAAAAGGCACTCTGGGAAGGCTACCAAGGCAGACGATGGTTGCGTACGACGCCGGACAGGGTCGGGCCTGCTCAGGCTAGCAATCTCATACATCATCTTCTTCACATCGTTCAACATAACTATTGACTTCGCATCACAGCAACATCGCCTTCGGTATAGTTTGTATTTTAAATCAAATTATTCTAGAGGTATTTGTTACTGTGTTCTCTCAGACTCATTGATGATTTTGGAATAAACTTCACAACGTTTGTTTGTTGCCTTAGTTCCCGGTCCTATCATCATCAACAGTTAGCGAAAAATGGCTTTGGCATAAATGAGATTTTACAGCAACCCAACGATCGCCTTTACTATAGTTGATAGATTTTTGTTAATGCATGTCATAACAAAGCTAGAGGAAAACGCGATTCATTGATGATTCTGGAATAAACTCCAACGTTTGTTTGTTACCTTAGTTCCCGGTCCGATCATCAACAATTGATGAAAAATGGCTTTGGAATACATTAGCTGTTAAAGAAGCCAAGCAGACAGCGATCTTTTCTTCAGTATTTTCTAACTTGTTATGCCGAACTGAACACGTTTACAAACGACAAGTTGTTTATTCTTCGTCAAAACGCTTTATGTTGATTTGTAAAAGCAACAGCAACTGAGATAATGGGGTTTTTCGATGCTCTAGCACAATGGCTTGGTGTTAAAAAGAAAGAAGTTAATGTAATGGTTGTTGGACTAGACAACAGCGGGAAAACTACTATTATCAACCATTTCAAACCACCGGATGCTAAAAACCATGATATTGTTCCAACAGTTGGCTTTAACGTGGAGAAATTCAAATCAAAATCCCTTTCCTTCACTGCTTTTGACATGTCTGGGCAGGGACGGTACCGTAACCTTTGGGAGCATTATTACAAAGAATGTGACGGCATCATATTTGTCATTGACAGCAGTGACAAGTTGCGCATGGTTGTTGCCAAAGATGAACTTGACCTGCTTCTCCAGCACCCAGATTTGAAAAATAGAAGAATTCCTATTCTGTTTTTTGCCAATAAAATGGATGCTAGAGATGCAGTGTCTAGTGTGAAGTGTTCTCATCTACTGGGTTTGGAAACTATAAAGGACAAACCCTGGCACATTTGTGCAAGTAATGCTGTCAGCGGTGATGGTCTGCATGAAGGTGTGGATTGGCTGACAGATCAACTAAAAGATGTATTAGAAAAGAAGAGAAAGAAATGAATTTGTGTTTTGAATTAAATGTTTCTTTTTAATTAGTTGTGTGATGTATTTTCACCTAATAAGTTGTTTACAAGATAACGACTATCTCAATATTCAAACAAAAGATAAAGTAAGAATGTTAAATTAACAGTCGACATCACAGCACGCAGAACATTCCCATAAGTGCTCCATCCTGTCTTCAGCAGCAAGCGCAGAGTACCATTTTTGCTTAAGAAGAGGATGCAAAAAATATGCTCCAGGGCTGTATATGGCAGCTGATCATTTATATACTTTATTCACATTTATCTGATGTACACTAATGAGAAGCTGAAAGACCGACTTACAGGCCAACTAGTAATGTCCTAGAAAAGATAGAAACAATAAAGATAATTATTTATGCAGTGAAGATATGAACAGTTGTTATTTTTAGAGTTGATTTATATATGTTAATCTTTTCATTGTTTCTGTTTATGTGATTCTTGTTAGTAAGTGTCCACTGTTGATGAAGAGAAGGGTGGTTTAAAAAAAATGTGGATATGTTAATTGATGATTCTAGACTAAACTTCCCAAAGTTTGTTGCTGTAGTTCCGGTACAGTCATCATCAATAATTAGTGTTTGTTTACAGTGTTAGCTGGCTCACAGGCTAATGAAACATTTCAAAGAAAGTGCACAAATAAAGGAAGTTGATAAATCACCTAACGAAGTAACGAGCAGCTAATAGATCAGCTGCTGCAGCTAGTCTGGGCAGTGAGCTACTGTGTGATAAAGAGGATGTGATTAGAGCTCTATGGGATCAGACGGACAGTACAAAAAAATACACTAAAAGACCCATTCAACGGGGAGTTCTTCTTCTTCTAACAGGGAGTAAATAGAGGTTCTAGAAGATATTCAACATTGAAGCAGAAACAGAGGCTGCAACAGGTACTATTAGCATGTTGACCTCATTGTTTACTGAAGAAAGAGATAGAGCGCATGGGGGAATGTCCAGAATGTAGTGATGTCAGTTCTTGATTTATTCATTCATTGAGGTTGTCTTTATGTCGGATCAGTTTCATGTTGGATTTGTTTTTATAAATGCATGCATATGTGCCCCCCCCCCCCCCCTTCAACTCTCTTTAAGTCCCATGAGGTTTAGCATCACAGACCCAAGGGGTAGTCAAAAAAGACGTAAAATCGGCGCATCTTGCGTTCATTGGGCTTCTAGGTGGGAAACTATGAACGTATGATGGGTTCCTTGGGACTCAAAGAGTTAATACTCATTTGTATAAAAAGACCAAACACAGAGATATTCACAAGACAAACATTACAAAGAGAAGTTCACATTAAATGAAGGTTGGTACATGAGTGGCTCTCTTGCAGTGTACATCTTTTTGTGCTCAGAACATAGCTGTCACAATTTTATTGACTGGGAACTAAAATTTTGTTCGGAACCTGTGATGTACATGTATGAAAATGTATTCAGAAACAGTCATTCAGGTACTAAAGCTTCACTGTATCTTAAGCAGATTGTTAACTGCAATAAAGACTTGTGTATAATCAATGAACGTAAAATTGTGACAACAGAGGTGAAATGCCTTAGAAAGGCTGCAGGAGTTTCAAGGAAAGACAGAATACGAAATCATGAAATCAGACGAATACTAGGAATAAAGTCAGTCTTACAGGTCATCAAAGAACAACAAATAAAGTGGTTTGGACACCTAACAAGAATGCCCTTGTACTATCCACCACAGCGAGCCACACTAAAACGTTACAACTGGTATAGAGCGAGTATAAGACCTCAGAAAATATGGAGTGATGGCATTAAGAACAGCCTTACAGAAATTAACATCAGTCTCAATAGTGCTCTTGACAGAGCTCATCAATGAACATTACATCTCCCCCTGACACTTCGATGTGGTAAAAGGTGGAAGAGAAGAAGAAGTATAATCAGCACAATTGACGTTGATAATGCCCTTGGTGACAGTTACTGTTAAAAAGTTTGATTATGAAACTTCACTGTTGGCATTGTTGTTCATTACAATATTTGTTTTCCGCTTTGATTGTGCTATTTTTTTTTATTTGTCTGACACACACAAGGAGGGTAAATACCATTGTGGCCACAGTTCCTCGCATGTAACCTCTGGCATATTAAAGAGACAACAAGCTTCTCTCCTTCAGCCATTCTTTGCAGCATTCAACAGCTGTCTAGTGGAAAGATGTGGCCTATTTGTATGCAAACGGTTCGTTACCTTCCAGGCCAGTGCACTCCGACTTGGAAAGGAAACCCACCAATTAGTCATATTTTGCGACGTGCTTGTGAGAGGGGCAGTAAGTCTATCCCTCTAACCTTAATTTAGGCCCCGGAATCCACATGGGATCCCAACTTTTTAACATCTGCCGCTACTGTTGCACCTGACACCATGTCTCCCTTCATCCACACTTTTACATGTACTTTCTCTCAGCTATTACCACTGTGTCATCCCAGCCCCACCACACCCATTTTTTTTTTCTGCCACAGAAAGTGATCTTCACATGGTTCACCATTCTCTCTACTCAGTGACTTGGCTTCCTTGGTGTGAGATATCAGATGACATTTGTCTATGCTTGTGTCAACTGCACTTGAGATTTTCTTCCACTCAGCAATGTCCACAGGTAATGTTCAGCAATCCTACTTAACAGGATAGCTAACATCCCATTTCTTGGTTTCCAAATGGATAGCATCCATAGTAAAAATTGGTAAACATAATTTTTTTCAAAATTTGTAAAAAAAAAAAAAAAAATGTCAGTTACACATTGTAGCTTATGATGTTAACTCATATTGTTGCATACCATTTGTTCTTGGTTGAAATTGGTTTGTATCATGCTGACTGCCCCCCCCCCCCCCCTGGTATCTATTTTAGACTGGGTCGATCTGGGTGGAAAAGTCAGTTCTTGAAAAATCTAACCTAAGACTTTTAGACCAACCGGCGATTATTCCGACACTATGCTGCTGTGATTCATGCCACCCTGTTATTCTTGCGTTCAACCCCACACTGAATTTTGTATTTGTCACAACTCTTCCAGGTCAACCCAACCTAAAATGTTCACTAGGTAGCAAAGTAGTAAAGATGGCCAGTATGTTGTTGACCACACCACAGTGCTAATTATGCGCAAAAGTATGTGTATTGCGTCATACAACCGGTGTGTCAGTTGCGCAGACAAGGTTTTTGTATTTTTTATTAACGTCCTCTTGACTTTATTTGCTGACAAAGGCTTGTAGTCAGAATGTTCGTCGTGCTACTGTTGGTTGTGTTCTCATAAAGATGCTCATTTCCATTTAGTCACTGTTTTATCACATGATGAGACCATACAATGACAAGGTTGTGATTAAGAATGTTATGTTGTTCATGAATCTGCCATGTAGTCTGTATAGTTTTTCTTATGAGAATGATGTTTCATTGTTATTTATTTAGTAATTTAAGCTTCCAGAGATTCATTTATAATAATTTAGCACTTTTTTGCTAATTCTGCAGTCTTGTATTTTAATCCCCTTTGAAGTGGAGATTTTTTCATTTTCCCAGCCTTATGTCGATCCAGTCTAAAAAGGTATACCAGGAAATTTTCTTGAAAGTGAAAGACATTTTTACCTCTTTGAGTCCCAGGGGGTTGTAACTTCTATTCTGTTAAATTTGTTTGTAACTGTATGTACACCTTGTATATATAATACAGAATTACACTGAGAAATGGAAGATGGGATTTATCATTGTCAGAATACAGTTGCAGACAACACAGATGCTGCACCTAACAAAATCCCAAACAAGAGCAAGAAGGTATCCAAGAAGAAACTGGATTGATGAAATATTAAGACATTGTATATTCTTCCTCCTCTTTACATTCACCTGCAGATAGTTGGATAAATTTTGGACTTTGGTCCTGTTTCAGAACTTGAGTTTTGTGTACACATCCGTTTACAGATCTGGTTTATTTGTATGCAGAGGAATTCACACCGACTTCCCGGGTACCCATAATTAATCCACTTGCGGCATGCTAGGGAAGCTTTAGGTTTATTATTTTACCCCCCCCCCCCGTGGGGATTTCTTCATTTAAACAATAATAACCACTGACACTCAGTAATTCCTCCCTATGACACTTGACAGCAAAACTGGAAGATGATGTTGGTTTAGTAGTAGTAACATAGACTATGATGCTCGCTAAGGAAAAAGGAAAACATGCTGACATACTTGCAATCTAGAACACAGCCCACAATCAGCCTCACACGAAAGAAACAGACAATTATTTTTAGACTGCAAACTGGATAAAACAGGACTTTTTTTTTTTAGAAATAAAGTTTGGCCACTTTACATTCTGGTGGAAACCAACCTATATGGGCATGTGCAGCACCACAGCCTTCATGAGGCATTTCACCTTCTCACCTGAAGGCCACTGGCAGGGAGAATGAACAGAAGAAGAAAGCATTTTTGGTTCAATCTTTTGTCCAAACATGACTCTAATTTCTGATTGGGCTTAGGATTCCTGTTGTGCTATTTTTTTGTTTATAAAGACTGGCATACATGTTATGCTGTCTTTTCCTTTGCTGATATTCCTCATGCAGATACTGGTGTCCCATAGGGGAAGGAGAATAGACCCACTGCTTCTTAACAAGCGTGCTGTAGAAGGCAGCTAGTTGAAATCGGGTGTGTTGGGCCTAAAGTTTAAGATATATTCTTGTTTTAAACCACAACACAATGTGGCAACTGTCCTTTTAAGAACAAACGCATAGGACTTTCACAATTTCTTGAAAGTAGTAACCTTATTTTCAACCAGCAGTATGACAGGGATGGGGGGGGGGGGGGGGGGGGGGGGGGGGGGGGGGGGTTACAACTATGGGACATAAATGACAATAACTGTCATTAAATAGGTAAAGTCATGGCTTTTTCTTTATGTCAATGCATCTTTGAAAAAAAAAATGATGTCTTTAAAAGGTCCAGGCACTGGGGATTTATTTAGGCATAATTTTTTCCAGGGCTATTAAAACAGACACTCTGTGGTGTGTACTGGCACA